GGTGCGAGAGGGTCTCTGAGGCCTCACCGCCCCGCCCGGGGCTGCGGCCCTCGCTCTGTCCCACCCGGCAGGGCTCTAGGCGCCTTTTCTGTACACCATCAAAGGCACGTTTGAGCTTAACACCACCCTGCTGAAACCAGCAAATGCTCCGATCTAGAGCTGCACTTTTAAGTTCATTGCTTTCTGACCCGTTTGGGTTCTGCGAGTCAAAGGAGCTGTAGTGCTGTGGTGGGGCTTTGCTGTTTAGGATCGGTGAGACATGAGGTTCCGAAGCAGAAGGTGCCTGGGAGGCTGGAGGATGCACGCTGAGCTTGCTGAAGCGCAGCATCTCTTGGCAGCAGCTCCTCTGCTGTTCTGGCTGCTGTACACGTCGTCACAAGCAGGTGGTGTACGCTGCCGCTTGGGCTTGGACAACTGTGCTGAAAAAGCACCGTAACCTCAATGGAAAAGAACCGCAGCAAGCCCGTGTCTTAGTCCACTCTGCTGGCTGTGTGTTTCACGCTTTGGTGTGTCTGTGTGTGAGAAAGAACTTGCGGTTTTCATCTCTCTCGTACTAGGAGGAGGTTCTGAGAGTAATTGCCCTGTTCTGTGGGATGACAGCTTTACCATGGAGCGTGTGCTATCAAGTGCTTCATTCTTTTCAGGATTAACATTCAGGTCCTCAATGGCAATAATGTGTTAGCAATTTCTACAGTCTGAACATCAGTAATTAGAGAACAATCCTGACATTGAGGGAACATGGTGATGGACCTTGCAGAGTTTTCTGAAGTGTGAACCAAGAACAATGGACAAGACAAAATATGAGAGATAAAGAACATGTGCAAAGAGATTCAAAAAGGGGCTCTTGCCTTCCTGGGAGGGGCAGAAGTTGGGTTTTATGTGTGATTTCACTGAAGACTTACACTGCTGAATGAGCCTGTCTGTGATGGAGGATGGTGCAATGAGATGAGTCCCTGAAAGTCACAAAGGAATTGTTGTTCTGAGTCAAAGATAATGATTTAACTTCTTGCTTTCACATCACAACAGTTGTAAGACTTGGTATATTAACTCTTGACTGGCTCTGTGGGTGCTTGAGCATCATCTTCTGGAATGACTTTCTGTATTAAGACAGTGACAGCTGGCTAAAGACCTTTTCAGGGTAATTCTGTGGTGTTACCAAATTCCCATTGGCACAACATTTGTGCAGATGCCCAGATCACAACAGAAGAGAAGCAAAAGACTTTGCAGATGGTCAGCTGGGTTCATGTGCATGGTGTTTTTCATGTGTGCTATACTGACCTTACTACTGTCATAAGTGAAAAGTTGCTGAACCAGCAGTGAGTATGTGAAATGCTCAGCAGCTATCCAGAAAGTAAAAGAGTGAGCCTGACTTCTTCCCATCACAGAATTGTTTCATCTAGCTTAATGCAGCCAACCAGCCCTCCCTGTAGCTGTGAAATCACATCCAGCCACCCCTTAAATACAGCCTTTTTTTAAGAAATGAGAGGATGTGTAAGACATAAGATGTGAACATTAAAATAAAGAATTTCTTAATCCACAGCACCTATGGTTCATAATGTCTTGATGCTTTTCTGTTTGCATTTCCTCTTTCCTAAGAGACAAAGTTTGACATTGCTGTATTAGTGGAAGATGTAATAAGTCTGTTTTGTTTTTTTTTTTAAACCAAACAGAACAAAGACGACAAAAAGTTGAAGAATATCTATCAAGAAAAAAGACCTTTTCTGGTGTGCCCATTCAAGAAAACAAGGCACCTGGCAGGTAGTATTTCTGCTGTGGCTCACAGCCCTTTGGAAAGGTCTGTGGTTGGTGGGGAAGATGCAAATAGCAATTCTTGCTGAGAGCCTCCCCCAAAAGATGTGACCATGCAATGAGACTGGTGACTACAGGGACCTCCTGAAGTCTCAATGGGGAAATTAAATGGGGGGTCTTGCTTGCCACTCTGTGTACTTGAGGTGGTGTGGTTCCATGTTCAATGGCACAGTACTACAAATCTTAACAATGACTTTTGGTTATAAAATACATATAAATGATGAGGGTAAATATAACTTGTCAAAGGCTTGCTCTGTAGAGTGGGAAAAGGCATTTGCTTTCATGTTGTAGAAAGCTATCATGTGTTAGAAAATCAATGACAACTACTTTCATTGTAGCAATACTCTTAAATTAGCATTTGATTTAATTTGCTTTTCCTTGCTTTCAGTTTATTCCCTGGCTATTAAATTCCAGGGCTTTTCATAATCTTCCATTAACTCATTGTTCAGAGCCATCATGTTGGTGGGTATGACTAGTACTTTTATTTTGCAGAGATTTCCCTCTTGTGAAGCTATCACTGTTCCACACTGTTGGCCACCTCAAAGAAGGTTGCAATGAGTTGGGTGTCAGTCTTTTTTCTCAAGTAACAAGTAAGAGGAAATGGCCTCAAGTTGCACCAGGAGAGGATTAGGTTGGACATTAGGACAAATTTATTCACAGAAAGGTTTGACAAGCACTGGAACAGGCAGCCCAGGGAAGTGGTGGAGTCACCAGCCCTGGAGGTATCTAAAAAACTGTGTAGATGTGGTACTCAGTGACAGGGTTTCGTGGTGGACTTGGCAGTGTTAGGTTTATGATGGGACTTGATCTTAAATGTCTTTTCCAACATAAATGATTCTGTATCTTCTGATTAACAAGTATTCTGTAGTACAGGTGACATAAAGGTGATTGAAATACTGCAGAATGCAGTTTGACTCATGCTAAGTCACTAATTATCTTTATTTTCCCTACTGCACCTTCATTTTCAACTCACTTGGCTTCCAGAAGATCATCTGAGTTCTTGTTTGCTAACTGGAATGTTAATTTTCAGCCACATGCAGTAGTGCCACACGTTTCATATAATGCATTAGGAAACAGTTGAAGAATTTGAATTTGTGACTTCAAACTGAGATGTTTTTCTTCTGAGCTGTCAATATATTTTCATAGTTGCTAGGATACAGTACTGGTCTTGATGATTTTGTTAGTCACTGGTAGTCTGATGCCAGCTCTGGTGCCTGACTGCAGGTTTTGGAACCTGTCAGTCTGATAGGAACTTTGTATCCTTGTCCAGACTTGCCTCAAATGGCCTGTCCTCTAATGCACTCTCTACAGCTACCTGAAAGGAGGTTGTAGTGAGGTGAGTGTTGTCTCTTCTCCCAGGTTACTAGCAATAAGATGAGAGGAAATCATCTCAAGTTGGGCCAGGAGAGGTTTCAGTTGGCTAATATGAAGAATTTCTTTCCTGAAAGAGTGGTGAGGCATTGTCCCTGGAGATGTTAAAAAAATGTGTAGATGTGGCACTTGGGGACATGGTTTAATGACCATGGTAGTGTTGGGGTGAAGGCTGGATTTGATGATCTTAGAGGTCTTTTCCAACCTTAATGGTTCTGTGATTGCAGTAGCTGAGCCTCAACTCCTTGTGCTGCTCCCCATTCCACCTCAGCTGCAGCATTGAGGAACCAGACCTCCTGTAGAGATGCATCAGGCTGCACAGGCTGGTGCTCAGCCTTAAACATGAGAGTGGCACCTACAGTAAACTGGGTCTGTTCTCTTTCCTTCCCCTGCTAGCCACCTCTTTAAGGTGTAAGAAGGGGCAGTTGCTTAGGCATTTATTTTGTCTGGAGGAAGAGCACAGTGGAACAGAAACACTTCAGTGCAAAGTCACCAGCATACAGCCACTGGGACAACATGAACTTACTCTAAAAATAATTCTTCTGTTACATTGTGGGATGATTTCAGATGTCTTTTTTTTTTAAACAGTAGCAGAACTAGGAGAGCAACTAGCAGTAAACTGCAAGACAAAATACAGCTCTCAACATCTTCAAGGCCAGAAATGGTAAGTTTTTGACTGGTAAGCAGACACTGATGGCACTCTTTCTGTGGTTACAACATTCCTGTCATGGTTTAGGGTCAGGTAACAGATGCTGTAAAAGATGCTCTGTTAACTCCTCTCCCCCCAAAGGGGAACAGAAAGGCAATAAGGGAGAGAGACTTATCAACTAGAAAAAACAGCTTTTGTTTTTAATGAAAACAATACTACTACTACCTCCCCCCAAAGGGGAACAGAAAGGCAATAAGGGAGAGAGACTTATCAACTAGAAAAAACAGCTTTAATGAAAACAATAATACTACTACAAATAATAAAATGGAATATAGACAAGGCCAGTATGGAACCCAGCTACCCCCTGATGACAATACATCACCATCACCCCCAGTGCTGGGGAGCAGGCTCTGTGGAAAAGTCCCAGCCTGGACTTGGCAGCAGACAGCAACTGGGTCCAGGAGCTGGATTCTGGAACTTGGTTCAGGAACACACGGACAGGGATCAAAGGCAGGATGGATGGAGTCCTCCTTGCATGCCAGTCACTGCAGCAGCACGAAAGGGGAAGGAGGAAGGGCTTGACCCTTGTGATCCTTCAGCTTTACACTGAATGTGATGGATATGGGATGGAATACCCCACTGGTCAATTGAGGGTCAGTTATCCTGTCTGCTCCCCCCTCAGTGTGGTACACAGGATTTAGCAGTGACCTTGGTCTGCACACCAGTCCTTGGTAGTACATCTAAACATGGAGCATTATCACTGCTAGAATCAAACACATCTGTGAAAATATCCTGTCAACTTCAGAAAGTGCAGTTAGAGCTTTAGCTAAGAAGTAAAATCACTGAACAGGATTCCATCTGTTCTACCCCAAACCAGGACAATCCAACTCAAACTGCTTTTAAGTTATATGACTTCCAGAGCATGAGAAGTTTGCGAATGTAGTTTGTTCTTAGTTTATTCAGTGACTGCTCACCTATGGTTTTTGGAGAGGTTACAGTGTGTAATGGATCATATTCAGTTTGCACCTCATTGGAGAGGGGGCTAGAGAGGATACTGTTATTGCTGAAATAATGGTTACATTTTAACTTTTCTTGACACTCCCAGAACTTTTTTGATATATTTTCAGTCTTCAGGGAAGTTTTTTTAAAAATCTGAGCAAGGTCTTCTGTCAGAGTAGACAATTCATAGAATGGCTTATGTTGGGAGGGACCCTAGAAATCATCTAATCCAACCCCCTGCCATGGGCAGGGACACCTCTCAACTAGACCAGGCTGCTCAAGGCCTCACCCCGCCCGGCCTTGAACACCCCCCCGGGGGAGCCTGGCCTTGAACACCCCCAGGGAGGGGCACCCACAGCCTCTCTGGGCAATCTATCCCAGAGTCTCACCACCCTCCTACTGAAGAACTTTTCCCTAAGATCTTGTCTGAACCTGCTCTCCTTCAGTTTAAAACCATTTCCCCCTGTCCTGTTGCAGGACACTCTTGTGAAAAGTCCCTCTCCAGAGTACAGTTCTTCTATTTTACTGTTACTTGGAGGGGAAAGGAAAAAAAAACAACCAACCAAAAACCCTAACAGAAGTAACTGTTGAATGTGTGTGGCTTTTCAGTTGTGATGCTGGCAAATCAAATGTAATCAGAAATAGGTGATAATACCTTATTGGAGTGCAAGGGAATGTTTTGTACCACTTTTCCAGAATTAAGATGCCTATAGTTGTGTTGCTAAGAAGTTGCAAAATACAGATTCTTTTCCATACCTGTTCTCAGGGAAAGCTGAAGAAGAAAAGACACAAAATCTATGTTCATGTTAGATGGTTTTGAGTTTGGGTTCCAAAAGATCTGCGAGACCTGAGGTTATATGAGGAGGAAAGCAAAAAACCTTAAGACTCCAAAACTGATTGTTGAGGATGGGAAGAAACTGCAAAAGAAAGAACAACAGTTCTTTAGAAATTTTCTGAATGGAGGAGGTATTTTGCTCTGTGTTAGTGTCTTGTGTGATTTCAAAGTTGAGTTAAATTACATACCTTCCTGAAATAACAGCCCTTCTGCTCAAGCTCCAGTTATTGATTTGGCTAAATCTGACTTCTAAGCCTGAGTGACAGACCAGGAAAATTACAGATTTTCCTGCACAGATTACCAGATGTGGTGTAATTTCCCAACAGTTCAAAGATATCTTCCTTGAAGGAAAAGAGCATCAGCTTCTGCAGACCTCCATGTGTCATTCAGATGTTTCTCCTGCCTTTTGATCAAGACTTTACTCACTACCTTATGTTGGCAGGCTACCCACACTAAGCAGAGGAATGGTGCTGCCATTGAGTGGTGGGACAGGCTATCTGGTGTACTGATTTTGACTATATACAGCTTAAAGCAAGTTTCTACTTTAGGACTCTCCTTTTAAGGTGATTTTTGGCAGTTAAAAGCCAGTAGTTGCTTTGAGAGTTTTGTTTCTGGAAGAGTGTAACCTTCAGGTTAGGCCTTCTTACTTCCAAGGCAGAGTTTAAACAGTCCTTATTTGATTTTGGGGTTTTTTTATGTGAATTCTGCAATAATAGTTGACAAATATTCTTCAGTATATGCACAGTACTTTTGTAGGTACTTTTAAAGTGGCATTTACTGTTAATCACTTTAGTCCCATAAATGAGTGAAAGGCTTTTTGGATACAAGTAACACACAGCATAAATGTACTTTTAACATCTCCATGAATATAATTTTTATTTCAGGAAAATAAAGAGAATGCTAATAACCTGTCATGGGATGAATCAAGTGGAACCTCAGAAAAAAAAGCTATTTTAAAGTCTTCCACAATTGTGCTAACAAATTCCATATCGGGCAGAAACTATAATCCTGAAGATCAAGCTTCCAAGGATGAAGTAATTGAAATAAAACCTAATGTGTCACTTAGCAGGTCTTTCTTGCAAATAAAAAGCATAAAAGAGAAGCAACTGATTGCAGAAAAACAAAATTCAAGTCTTGGTCCACCAAAGAAACCAGTGCCTGGTACATATCGTGGCAGAGTTATCCAGTCCAAGATAAACTCCTTCCGAAAACCTCCAGAAAGTGAGGGGGAAAAGAGTTCTTTGCTTGACAAGAAGCTTCTTCCTTCTGCCACCAAAAGGGCAGTAACTTCTTTGCCCACGAGCAGCTGTACTGTAGTTCTGAAGACCACCAAAGTCACAAACTACTCGAGTTCTGTGAAACCAAATGGTGTCCGCCCAGTCCAGAGCAAACCATCTGGCAGAGCTGCTGTTAACTTACAGTCCAGGCTGAAGAAATGTCAACCAACATCTGCTGTGGCACCAAAGAGAGTAACAGTTGAAAAAACAATTGGTGGAAGGACACCACAGCCACTGAAGGCTGCTTCTAACAGTTTGGACCACAGAGTACCAGGAGTGAAGAAAAGGGCAGATTTTTGTGAAGATGCAAGACCAGAAACTCCAGGAAAACCAGTTTCTGTTGTTCCTGGAACAAAGTCAGGACAGAATTCTAAAACTAATGGAAACAGAAATCAGCAGAAGAGAGAAGGTAAATTAATTACTCACTGTCATAGCTTGATCTTGGAAGGTACTCAGACCTTCTTTTCAAGAATATCTATTTTGATCTATTTCATGCTATAGATGTGTTTGAACTTGACATGAAGGGGCAGCAGACTAAAACTGTGGACTTAATAGAGGGAAATTTGGATTCAGACTAAGTGCAGCAGCTCTTCAGGCTTACAGTTTGTCCTGGGTGGTTATAAATAGAAAATATATATTGCTGACTGATAAGGTTGTTCTGGGCTGCTCGTCATATTTTGTGTCTTCAGAGACAGTTTCCTAGTTTGAAGTGGGACTAGGATAGAGGTGGCACAGATGAATAAATTGGAAGCATTTTTACCCTCTCTTGGAAAAAAGGGGCTTGTAGCCCAAGTCTCTTGCTGCTGCTGGAAAGTGTTCTGGCCCTATAGATACCTAAAACAGATGATAGGCATGGTTCTGAAAATTCCATGTGGGTCTAAGTGGCAGCTGTATTCATTTAGAATTAAAGGGAGAGGACTTGAGGACTATCTGGAAAGTGTGACTGTGTGTGACGTGCCCTAGTTAGTGGCAATATAAAAAAATGAAAAAACCAATCTGTCACTTCAGCTAATCATATTCTTAAATGCAGGGCTCGCCTGGATGAATGGAGGGCATCTCGAGGAAAAGTTTTGAGGAGACCTCCCATATCTGTGTTTCTGGGATCCCAGCCAAGAACTGCAGAACAAGAACTATCTTTTGGTGATTCCTTCCAGCACATATCACAGAGTGAAGAGCTCGACAAGACTCTTGCAGGATGTCTGCAGTTAGTGGAGCAGGTATTCAGTCCCCTGCCTACCAAGTTCTAAGCATGTAGGTCCCTACAACACACAAGTCCTGTGGGCATGCTGGACCTGTGAATGAGATGCAGAGGGACTAATTGCTCCCCAGGTTAAGGAATAACTTAGCTTTTTTCCTGAAACCTCAAGAAATTAGGTCTCACTTGAGCTTCACTAACTTACTGAACTATGCAGTAAGATTAGGCAATAATGGTAGAATAATAAAGTAGAAAAGTGATAATGTAACGAGAGTAGCTATGAAATTGTTCTAAACCAAGCTTGCATTTGCAGAAACTTGACCAGACTTCTGAAAAAGTTTAAGTAGTTCTGAAGATGTCCCTTCTTACAATGCTGTGCAAATCATTCTCCTTTGGAAGAACAGGTGAATGGTAATTCTTGTGCTCCAGTTCATAGTTCAGTCTTGGAAATAATGTGGCATCTGCAACTTTTAGGGTTATGCTCCAAACATTCACTGCATTTAAATCTCTGCTCTTGTGCTGACTTTAGGGATGTCAAGGTGATGAAGTACGTGCCATGCTGGAAGATCTGACCCACAGGATTCCTGGGGCTAAAAAGCTTGCCAAATATTGGGTCTGCTGGATGCGTCTCGAGCAGATGGGCCCTCCTGAAAAGGTTATTGCTGTCTTTGAGGAGGCCATTTTGGCAGGAGCAACGGTGAGCAGCTTCTCCTGAAGCTTGAGATTAACAAATACAAAAGCATGAAAGGATGGTCTGGAAAATACAACTACTTCTGATCTTAATAAATCCTTCTGTAGTAGAAGGAGAGCCATGTGACCTACCTGAACATAAAAAAATAAGGATTTGGGTTGCTCTGTAAATGCTGTAGATGCTACTTTCAAGAAGAAAGGTTTAGGATCATCAAAATACCATATGATGTTCCATGTAGAAGAAATTAAGGACCGAGACTTCTAGTACCACTAGAAACTCAAAACAGAACTTGACCTTTATTGATGGACTTAATACCTGTGTTTTAATAGCAATAAGATTTCAGGGCATCAAAAACAGCCTTAGTGCACCAAATACAGAAATATTTTTTGGGGGGGGTTGGACTAGATGAGCTTTTGAGGTCCCTTCCAACTCAAAGCATTCTATGATTCTAAAATGCAGGATTCACTTGTGTCCTGACATATGTCTGTACAGCATTAAATAGAGGGTTTGTAACATGAACATCATGTTGCCTGTGCCACTTTCCCTGTAGCTGTTTGTTGTACCAAGTAACAGTTGGTATATGATGATGCTTCATTTTGGAATTATTTTTTTAATACAACTTTTTTTTTTCCAGCCTAAAGATGAACTACGACACACACTAATAGATGCTATGAAAAACACTGAAAGCCTCTTTAAGGCTGAGGATGGTAAGTCTGAGCACTCTCTTCTAGTTAAATGGGTGGCTTGACAGGCAACATGAGCTGTTCAAATTATTTGTGCCTATACTGAATTCTGTTTCATGGAAACGTCTCTGTAATTATTTTGTACTCTCTTTGACAACAACCTTGATTAAACTAATACTTTACAATTGTGGACATGTTCAAATGAGTAGTGGAGATGCTTTCATATCCAAACTTTCTGCTTAAATTCTATCAAAGCAATGTTGTCCAGCTATTTTAGCCTGATAATCAAGGAGTAAAGACATTCTTGTGAGCTAAAAACCAGTTGCCTCTGATACAAACTCCTTCACTAGCAGATGAATAGTGTCAGTTAAAGGTGGTCAGTACTCCAGTTGTGGAAGCACATTAGCCATGTACATTCCTGTTCAATATAACACAGCTTGACAAGTACTTGATCCCAGAAACTGACTGAAATACTTGTTCAGAGCTGCCGCACTTGGGAGGGAAGAGAATGACTTCTGAGGATGTACTTAGCCTGGGTTTTCAAGTTGCAGATTCTTGAAGGTGGCTAAAACTATTAGTAAGTTAAATTGCTGTGTCTCCAACTCAAGACATACTTAACTTTTATTCTGTAAAGCTCTAAGATTTCAGAGATCTCTCTAAAATGTTAACTTCTCTTTACTTGTAACAAATCACAGCTGTACTTTCTTCATTATTTCAATTTTAGGGGGAACTGTGACAGAAGCTCACTTAAGTGAGGGAATTGAAGTCAGCAAGGAGCCAAATTCATGTACAGAGCAGGTTCAGGAGGCCTTCAATGATCTTGGCTATAATGATGACCAAAAAGCAGAGAGTGATGAGAAGAAGGCAGAGACAGGGGCTAGCACTGAAGTGATAAAAAAGGAAGAAATGGATATAGAGTTAAAACCAAGAGAAGAGACCTTGCCAAAGAAGAACAAAAAGCACAAGACTAAAGACCGTACAAAAAAGAAAGGAAAATATGAAAAAGAAGAGCAGGATGAGGATGGGGTAAAAGCTACAGCCCCAGCAGTTCATTCTCCTGTGAGGGATAATGATGCATCCTCTTCAGTGAGATATAATCCATCTACCACACCATGCTTGGAAAGGTAGGATTACTTCAGGTAACTATGGAAAGTTTGCAGCATCTGGGACAACAGTAATGCTTGTGTCCTGGTGAAGCAGGGAGGCCCTGAATTTGTCAACATCTAGTTAAAAGCTGTCAAGGGCTTTTTTTTAATTGCTTCCTCTTCAGAAATAAGGCTTTTAAAATAAATTCCTTTATTTATTCAAACTGGTTTGCTTTTTGAATCATAGAATCACTGTGGTTAGAAAGGACTTCCAGGATCATCAAGTCCAACCTCCATCCCAACATCTCCTTAACCACTAGACCATAGCCTCAAGTGCTGCATCTACTTGTTTTTTGAACCCCTCCAGGGATGGTGACTCCACCACCTCCCTGGGCAGCCCATTCCAGTGCCTCACCACTCTCCCAGTGAAAAAATTCTTCCTCATATCCAACTGAAACCTCCCCTGGTACAACTTGAGGCCATTTTCCTTCATCCTATCCTCAGTAATTTGGGAGAAGAGACCAACACCAGCCTCACTACAACCTCCTTTTAGGTAGTTGTAGAGAGCAATAAGGTCAGCTGGTCCTCATGAGCCCTCTTTACCAGCCTCCTTGCACCTCTCTGGACCCACTTCAGCATCTCAATGTCTTTCTTGTACTGAGGTGCCCAGAACTGGACACAGCACTCAAGGTGTGGTCTCATGAGTGCCAAGTCCAGGGGCACAATCACCTCCCTACTACTGGTCACACAATTTCTGATCCAGGCCAGGATGCCATTGGCCTTTCTGGGCACACTGCTGGCTCATGTTCAGCCAGCTGTCCACCAACACCCCCAGGTCCTTTTCCTCCAGGCACTTTCCAGCCACTCCTCCCCAAGCCTGGAGCAGTGCCTGAGGTTGTTGTGACCCAAGTGCAGGACCCAGCACTTGGCCTTGTTAAACCTCATCCAGTTGACCTCAGACCATTGCTCCAGCTTTTCCAAATTCCTCTGCAGAGCCTTCCTACCCTCAAGCAGATTGACACTCCTGCTTAAATTCATGTCAGAATGAATGCCTCATTACAGAGTAATCAAACCTCTTTGTGGTAGAGACATAAACTTCAGGTACAGGATCCCCTCCCACAGCCCACACTGCAGCAGCAGTTCTACACTGAGTGAGGTAAAGAGCAATTAGGTGTCTGCAGTCCCTTTTTCAAATGTAGATGTGGTTGTGTGTCATACAGCACAGAAGTGAACAATGTGTAACTGTCCTGTAAAGATCATCTGTTTTGTATCTTGAGGCAAAAATACATAGGCATTAATCTCAGAAGAAAACAGATAACATTTAATTTTTCATTTTTTTGCCACAAAATTTCTTCTAAGATAGCAGACAGGAAAGTTATGCTCAGCTTTGGCATCTGATGAAGCTGAACTGGCAGCTGTCCACTGCAGGAAGAGCAGTTTCCCTCTGATGGGATGGGGGAGAATCTCCCTTTGGAAACTCTTTTTCAGGAGGTTTTCCAGATGAAAATATTCTGCCCAAGGAACTCCTGGCAGCTGTCCACTGCAGGAAGAGCAGTTTCCCTCTGATGGGATGGGGGAGAATCTCCCTTTGGAAACTCTTTTTCAGGAGGTTTTCCAGATGAAAATATTCTGCCCAAGAAAAGAGTTGTACATCTGGTTTTAACTGTATGAATGGTAAAGGACCTGTTTCCACTACTTTGGCTAAGGGAATGGTAAAGAGTTGAATAGGAATCATGACTTGCTGTTTCTGCTAGATTCTACAGAGGTAATTTGTATGATGGTGTGCCTGTGTTTAGTAATTTTATGTAGTTGCTTTTTTCTGTTCCAAAGTGTGAAGATGCATGGTGAGGCAAATGACCTGAAAATCATCACCCCTCTGCGATATTCTCAGCGCATTCGGGAGAAGATGTGCAAGCTGGTGGGGGATCATGTTAAAGATCAAGATCCATGTGTCTCCTCGTGTGAAGAGCTTCAAGAAATGGAATCAAATGCCACTGCGTTGATCCACAAACAGAGCAATGAAGTCAAAGAAACAAGTGCTGAAGTAGAAGAGTAAAAAGTAGCATTAATGCTACACAGAGGTTAAAGATTGGATCTTTTCTGAAGAGTTGGGGAGTGTTTTTAGCAGCTTTGAGAGAGGATCTGTCTAAAACTTGTATGAATGGCTTAAGATAAAATTTGAATGCCTGAGTCACTAAACTTAATGTATGTTTTCTGCCTTTTCAAATTTGGTACATCTGGTGTGTTGTAGTACTTATAAATATCAGTGTCTTCATGTTAAATATGATTCATTAAATATTAAGGACTAGGTTTAACATTTCATAGTACATATTGATTGCAGTATATTACTAGTACCTACTGATTTCCTGTTGCAATTCCTATAAAATCTTTAGAATTGCACCATCTTTTAGTTTAAGAAAGAAATAATATAGGCATATCAATAGGGCAATGTCTACTATAGCAACCTTTAGTGTTTAAAACTGAAGCTAGCTAGTAAGATGCACACCAAGTATAAACATTTTTATCCATTTTTAGCATGTATTTTAACAAAACTGAGTTAAATCCCTTTTAGTTAGTAGGATTATTCATGAGCAAGTAACCTCCCTTAAATGAGGTCTGATACACTAATTACTTTGTGACTGTTGTAATGTTGGTTTGCTTTAAGTCTGTAATATGGTGGACAATAAAGTAATCAACTGAGTTGTATTTGTTTTCTTTATGGGCTTTAGGCTGGAAATAAATTGTACAACATGGGTATAGGCCTGAGACTGGAATTCTGAAAATTAATCTGTTCTTGGATGTGAACTGTCACAGAACACTGAACTCTTTCATATTCAGCAGAAGCTGGGTGTTCCCCTAACTTCAGTATGCAGTTTATGTTAAGTTAAACCTTAGCTGAGCATTCAGATTTCAGTGTTTCTTCTGTCCCTTCAGAAAGGACTCACTCTTTGTAGAGAAGAAGATGCCTCTAATAAGAAACCAAACTTCAAGTCTATGATTTTACCCCATTTTCTTTAGAAAACCCTCCTGCTTGCCACCAAGCATCCTACAAAGTGTAACCCAGGAACTAAACGTCAGGCCACGATCTAGACAAGCACTCCTGGTTCTCTGCTGTGGAGAATTTTGTGTCGTTTGTGTCCTGCCCCTTTTCCTCTGTAGCGAAGCAGAAATGGCCGGGCCGCCATCACCGCACTGGGCGCTGCCTCGGCGACCGGGAGGGA